AATTCCTATTAGTGCAGTGATTCTTGACCTAAGAGCAAAGACACGTGGCACATTTAAGGGCCAGGCACCACAATGATTTGCCTAGCTTCTGAGAATGTTAACAGGCAATAAAACATACGGTGGTTAATGAACGGTTGCATAGTCTGTAACATCTGTTAACTCCCCATTCCCCACGCCCGACAAGCAAAGCAGCAGAAAGTCTCTGGAGTTTAACCAGTTCTCTAAGGGTTAAACAGTTCTTAAAGTCTTCTCTGCTGTGGAAACAGCTGGCTGGCTCCTTGGTGCTCTTGCCGGAGGGGCCTCAGGGGAGATGTAGATGACGTCACTCTTTCAGATGGGTCCTCGGTGATTGCTGGTTCCCTCAGGTTACCATGCCCTTTTGTTGAACACATTCCCAGAGTGATTTTCTTTTCTTTCTCCCATTTAGGAATAAAAAGCTACCCCTTTGTTTGTACTGCCTCCTTCCACACAAGCGGCTCTTTGGCCAAAGAGGATTATTACCAGATATTAGGAGTGCCCCGCACCGCCAGCCAGAAAGAGATCAAGAAAGCCTATTACCAGGTTAGTATGGAAGTCCATTTTCAGAGGCAGGACTGAAGGTGAAATGTGGTCACATGATCTGGTGTGGTCAGTACAGTAAGCGTGTGTATCCACAAAGGCATCACGAAGCTAAAAGTATGGAATGATAACCGTAAAGATGGGCTTCCCTGGATGGTCTTCCTCAGTGGGTGTGTCTGTCTGGGAAGGCCTCACAGAGCTCAGAGTGTGAAATGATAACCCTAAAGGTGGGCTTCCTTGGATGGACTTCCTCGGTGGGTGTGTCTGTCTGGGAAGAGCTCAGAGTGTGAAATGATAACCCTAAAAGAGCTCAGAGTGTGAAATGATAACCCTAAAGGTGGACTTGGCTCTTCTTCAGTGGGTAACACTGTGACGAGTAGTGTGTTAGGAAAGAGAGAGGCAAAAGAAATCAAAATGTGTGTGAACTAATGAGTAAACTTACCCAAATCAGAATAAAAAAGTTTAAAAAAACAAAACATTAAAACTTGATGATCGGGGAAAACCAGAGGCAGAGATTTAAAAATTCTAGAGTTGTTTTTGTTGTGAATGTTATTCTCCACTTTCTGAGTCAGTACATATAACTGGTCTGAGTTGTAAGTGCTCATCTTTGCATCAAGACAAAAGTGCATGGGTTTAGAATTACTGTTTTTCATAACCCAAAAACTGAGATTCCTATCTTCTTCCAAAATATCTCAGTGCTCATCAGCATGGTGAACATTCTGGACCCTGATGGTTGCTAGATAGTTGGTGTGCTCAAACCGACAACGTAAAAATTGAAGCCACTGATAAAAGATTGAATGCTTTTGTATCTAGCTAATATAGGCATTGGACTCCTACGTTAGGTGTGGTGGTGCACTGAATTTCAAGCCTCAAGGTCGGCAGTTCAAAACCACCACTATGAGTTGAAGTTGACTCAACAGCACTTGTCAACAATAACAATGTAGCCTTACAGCCTGTGAGGTCTCAATTCTCTTGGTAATTTATTTAGAAATTGTAATTGAGTGAAAGTTTACAGAGCAAATTGATTTTCTCTTCAACCGTTGACACACATTTTATTTCTTGCAATTGATGGCCACCCTATGATGTTATGGCTCTCTTCCCACTTCCTCCCATGTCTGCTGTTTCCCTTTATCCTTCTGTCCTGTCCCTTCCTGCCTCCTTATGAGCTGTTCCCCTGGGCAAACGCTGTCCTTTTGATCTCACATGGTTGATTGTTCTAAGGAGTGTGTACCTCCCTGGTGGCATTGTTCACCTTACAGGCCTATCGTTCGCCTGAAAGTTGAGGCTTGGGGTTGAGTGCTATTCCAGACCTGAAGGGTGAGTAAGGGCCAGTGATGGAGGTGTGTGTGTGTTCCACCAAGCCCGGTCTTTTTTATCATTTTGAATTTTGTTCTATATTTTTCTCCCACTCAATCTAAGACCAAATGTAATCTCTTTTAGATCTCCTGGTACTTTTTGAAGTTGAACTTCTCTGAGTTCTTAATTTACACTATGAGCCATGATATCATTTTGTCTTTACTTGGCATGACTTCTTTTAATGTTGAAAAGTACTGTGGTACTGTTGGCACCACCTGGTGGTACTGGTGGCACTGTGGGTGGTATGCTGCTGTACGCCTGGTACTGTAGACAGAAACCCAGGCTGTGAAGTGGCTTCTAGTGCTGCACTGTGAAGTGGTCATCTTGGTGGTTCAGAGTCTACTGACATCAGTAATTCTTGGCTCATCACAGAAAGGCGAAATTCTCAGAACTTCTAGATGCCCACTCCCAACTATACCCTTATGTTCCCATCATGTCCTAATAGTAGCTAACATTGGGTGTTCCTGTGTGTCACGCCTTGTGCTCAATCCCCCCTACCTGTATCAGCTCATTTTATCCTCCCAACCACCCTGGGCAATAGGTGCCGTTGTTATTGCCCTTTTACCGATGAGGAAAGTGTAACTTAGAGACACTTGGTGATGTACCCAGGGCCCTCACAGCCAGCAAGTAGTAGCTCAGGACCATCTGACCTCAGCAGCTATGCCTTTAACTCCCTGGAGCTCAGCTGTAACTATGGTTACAGAGCCCTGCTGGCAGGCAGCTGGCTTCTTGAGCCTCTCAGCTTTTGGGTCCCATGGTCCTCCATATCCTCCTAGCAAGCACTCAGTAAGTAGCCTTCATTTTAGAGCCATTTATCATGTGTGTGCTTTGGAACAACCTAAGGGAGAGTTTGTTTTTTAATTATTTAAACCTATGAGGGAATTTCTAAGCATTCGTGGGAAAATGGAATTGAAAGATAATGTAATTTTTTGTGTATGAATGTTTTGAAGCCCCCTCGAATTGTTTGGATAGGTACTGCATGCATTGACTTTAGTTCTGGATTCACAGTGTACATAGGAGGAGATGGTAAAATGTCTGTCCTCTTCCCTCCATCCATGTCCCGCTGGTAGCATCCAGTCTTGGTGTCTTACTGTATAGGTGTTTTTTGTTGTTGTTTTTTTTTTTTACTGTGTAGGCTTTTGAAGGAAATTTACACAACAGGTATATCTGTTGACCTATCTGAGCCATTTTCTCCTCTTTTTACATTGTTGTTTTTGTTGGTGGTAAGTGCTGTCCATTTGGTTTGACTCATCACGACCATTACAGGGTTTATGAGGAGTGGCTGGTAAGTTTGAACCACCAACTTTGTGACTCAAACAAACTTTGTGGTCAAGTGCTTATTGTACTGCGCCACATCAAGATTCCTTTTTACACAAGTGATACCAATATTATGCACACTGTTTTGCACTCTATTTTGGCAAAGGTATCTAAGTCCTGGAGAATCATGTTTGGTAGAGATTTGTTGTGGTTGAAACGATGTATATGCACCTCTGACTTGAGGAGACTATTGTTGTTGTTAAGTGTTGTTGGGTCGATTCCGACCCATAGCGACCCTGTATAGGGTTTCCAAAGAGCAGCTGGTGAGCTTGAACTGCCGACCTTGCAGTTCAAATGGCTTTGCAGCCTGGTGCATTAGCCCCCAGCGCCACATGAGGAGACTGTTACAACTCAAAAAATCTTGTTTGAAGAAATGCTGTTGTAGCTCAATCTCAAGAGACATCTGCTACTTGGGAGGAGCAACTGCCCGGTGCTAGGGGCCAGTTCTGGTTCATTTTTCTGTTCCCATAATTATTGACCACTTTTCTTCCCTGTAGCTTGCCAAGAAATACCACCCCGACACAAATAAGGATGATCCCAAAGCCAAGGAGAAGTTCTCCCAGCTGGCAGAAGCCTATGAGGTAATGTGCCTGGTGTGTGTGAAGCAGAGCTCCCTGGGCAGTGGACAGGGCAGCCTGGCGGGCCACAAGCTCTGTGTGAAAGCTGGGTCCCCAGATCTTGCAGTGGGTGTATTCACTTGGAATCTCAACAAACGGGATCCAGGCATCTGTATCAGCAAATCTCCCCCAGGTCTTTTTCCTTTGTGGCCATTTGGGAATTACTGGTAGGAGGGACCCAGCACTTCCTCCTCTTGGTATTCATTAATTCATTGGTATAACCCCTAACTGGGACACTGTTGTCTGTTAGGGAGGACAGATATAAAAGGACACCCCCAGAGAATGTCACAGAACTTGGAAGACTTTCCAGTGTAATCAGAAGAAGGTAGTATCTGGGAAGCAATTCCAGAAGTGTTAGCAAGTAGACCTCCTTCCTAGACCTCCGACATTTCCCAGCAGTCCAGGAAACATTGGGTGTTGTATAGCCACGGGGATGTACAACACATAGAACAGCTGAGTGAATACTTACTGAATTCATGTGTCTTTTTCCCAGCCAACTGTGTTTAATGGAAGGGTTGTTTAATAGTGTATTTTTCACATAATACAGTTTTATATATACAGTAATTCTCACTAGTTGATAATAAGTTAAAGGCTCCTAGAACCTGTTTCTGTGATGATATGATTAATTTTTATATGAAGGGGGTGCTATTAGATGGAGAGAGGACTCTGAGGATGTTAAAGGGTAGGAACCGGAAAACAAAAGCCCCCAGGGACCCCTCTCGAGTCTGTATACTCTTCCTTAATCCACCTGCTTTCTTTGCCTCTTAAAAAGGACCCTAGGTGTCGATCCATTTCCATTTAGTCTGCGGAATTTCTCCCTCTGATTCTGGGCAGAACAACCTCTTCCCTCTTTCCCTGAGGTGTGGGATGCTATTTTCTGCCGGATCCCAGCACTGGGTCCATTTTAGTTTCTGGTCTGAGCAGACTTCTCCAGGTTCTCACCATTTTGATGGTGCCATCCTCTGTTCTGTCCATACCTGTGTCTGTCGCTTCCCCTCCATCTTTTGATGTGCATCTTCAGAAACTATTCATTCCATGCATCTGCATTTCCTTTGTAATTAGGAAAAAAGAGAAGCAAACACAAATGAGATAAGAGAGGGACGTGCACTTCTCCCCCATTCCTTCTCAGTCACTGGCCCAATCTACTTCCTGTATCTGTGTAAGTGGGCACATTCTTATACAGATGTTTGCTTGGAGCCATGACAAAGATGTCAGTTTGAGACTAAGGTGCACCATGTTATTTTCAGTAGCCTCACATGCATGGGAGAGTTGGACAGTGAATAAGGAAGACCTTAGAAAAATTGATGCATTTGAGTTATGGTGTTGGAGAAGAATATTTAAAAATACCATGACCATATGACCTTGAACATAGCCCACCTGAATTTAGAGATCATCTGAAGAACAGATTTGAAGCATTGGACACTAAAGGGCGAAGACCAGAAGAGTTGTGGGATGACATCAAGAACATCATACAGGAAGAAAGCAAAAGGTCACTAAGAAGACAAGAAAGAAGATAAAGACCAAAATGGGTGTCAGAAGAGACTCTGAAACTTCCTTTTTGGCGTAGAGATGCTAATGCAAATGGAAGAAGTGAGGAAGTAAAAGAGCTGAACAAAAAATTTCAAAGGTCATGGCCAGCAGTGTGGCAAGACCTGGGGACCCTTGGGCCCAGAGTCAGTGACATAGCCACAGAGGACTAGAGTGGAGAGTGAAGCATCCAGCTGATAAGAAGAGAGGGCATATGCATAAGAACACCCACACTTGCAGATAATACCTACTTGTCCTGGCTTCGAGGACTGGATGATCAGAGCTCAATCAGAAGTAAAAAGAAGAGAAAAACAAAAACAAAAACAAAATATTCTCATACAATTTGATGAACTTGACCTACACCTATGGAAGCAGTAGCTCAAAAGAGGGAACAAGTCCTTACAGCAAGAATCATTCCCACCCTCTCCACACACAGAGTAGACAGGGATAGGCAACTTGGACATTGGCTACCTAAAATGGGGGGTGGGGGGCTACAAAGGCAAGAAGTGACTGGCTTACAAGCTTTCAAGAGGGAACCTAGATCCAGAGGGCCTGGAGGAAGGTAGAATCTCCAGTGTGTAGTATTCAGTCTGACTAGGTGGGGCTGATGCAATGAAATGCAGACGGGTCTCTTGTGATACAATAGTGAATAATTGTTATCAGGACTGACTGTGAGGGTCGGAAATGTAAAGGTAGACGTTTTATAGCAAGGAGGGGAGTGATTGACTTTTCAGTTTGGGAGCAGAGGTCCCTAGGACCATCAAGGGAGAAGAGCAGAAAGCAGGACCCTACCCAGAGAAGCAGTGATGTCTGAAATGGAGCCAGAGATAATGATGTGGAGCGATGGAGCAGCTGGAGACTTTAGATCCAGAGAGGGAGAGCAACTGTGTGCTGAAGACCTGGGGGGCATGGGGGAAGATTTGCATGGAGGGGATTGTAACCATGGCAATGAGATGATATATACGATAGAATGAATGTAAAACTAATGTTCTCCCATGTATACTATCACATAATTCACAATAAATCATTTAAGAAAAAAAAAAAAATTTCAAAGATCAAAAGTCAGTTATTATAACGAAATAATGAAAAGACCTGGAGTTAGAAAACCAGGAGGGAAGAACGCGCGAAGCATTTCTCAAGCTAAGGGAACCAGAGAAAAAATTCAAGCCTCGCCTTGCAGTGTTGAAGAGTTCTTTAAGTCGTGCAGTTCTCGCCCTCCTCTTCGTATCATCTTTTGTGTTTGTTGAGAATATACACTACAGAACACACACCAACCTACCAGTTTCTGCATGTGTAATTCAGTGACATTGATTACACTCTTGGAATTGTGCCGCAGGTCTCCCCTTCTCTCTTATCTTTTTGTGTGCACTGGCCACCTGGTGAGTGCTGTGGCTGGTTGACCTTGAGTGCGTGATCTAGAGACAGGGCGCATGATCTTCTTGCCTTTCTCCCAGTAGGTGCTGAGTGATGAGGTGAAAAGAAAGCAGTATGATGCTTACGGCTCGGCTGGCTTTGACCCTGGGGCCAGCAGCTCCGGACACAGCTACTGGAGGGGTGGCCCCACTGTGGACCCTGAGGAGCTGTTCAGGAAGATCTTTGGGGAGTTCTCGTCTTCATCGTTCGGAGACTTCCAGAGCGTATTTGATCAGCCGCAGGAGGTAAGTACTGTGTTTTGATGACTCATTCAAATTTTAGGTTAAGTCTGATGAAAACAGGAATTTTACTAATTTCTGCTTCTCAAAGGAAAAATCAGAGCAGCTAAGGGGAATGCTCTAGAAGCAGCTGCTTTTGTAGAAAATAATTCCAGTGGTTGAAAAGTCCCATAGATACTATGGGCACTTGCATGTGGACATTATTCTTATAATTGTTCAGTGAAGCAGCAGCAGTGAAGGCTTTCAGAGTTCATAACAAGGGGTAAGTATTTTAACCAGGGAACGCAGTTCAATAGGGAGACAATCTGTGTAAGACGTTACAGGCAGACCTTGGAGATATTACAGGCTCAGTTCCAGACCACTGCAATAAAGCAAGTGTCACAGTAAATTGAGTGTTGTAGTGCATATAATAGTGAAGTGGACAGTAGGCTGTGGTCTGTTATTAAGTGTGAAATAGCACAATGAGAAAGTTTGTAGTAGTGTGAGCATGACCAAAATGGAACACAGAGACACAAAGTGATCCCATGCTTATGGAAAATGTCACCAATACATGGCCCAGGGCAAGGTTGCAACAAACCCTCAGTTTGTAAAATGCAGTCTCTTCGATGCGCATGCAGTGAAGCGGAGCACAATGAAACGAGGCCTGGCTGTAGTGGAGCTGAAGAGAGGGAGATTTTTTTTTATGACTTACAGTTGTGGCTCATTAAAGACTATGTCAGTGCTGTGTACAGATATTATCTGTGAATATTTCTTACTTATTGAAAAGCATCTTTTCAAATCTGTTGAGACATGCGTGGTCTCTGACAAACCCAGGGCCATGAGCCCCAGCCACTCCCTAAGCATCCCCCTGGGTGTTGTGAAAAGGAAAGTGACAGGCCTGCCCCTTGGTCTCTGTAGTACATCATGGAGCTGACATTCAACCAAGCTGCCAAGGGCGTCAACAAAGAGTTCACTGTCAACATCACGGACACCTGTGAGCGGTGTGACGGCAAAGGGAACGAACCCGGCACGAAGCTGCAGCACTGTCACTACTGTGGAGGCTCCGGCATGGTGAGAGACCCCCACCTCCTCTCTACTCCACTCCTGTGGGTGTTTATTCACCACGGGGCTCGGGCTTTGAGAGTTCCTATCCTCTCCAGAACCTTCCGTATCCTTTGGGAGACTTCTGTCTTAGTAGGTGGACAATATAGATGGACAGTATAGATGGAACAAGCTATACTTTTTGAAAATAACTTTGGGATGTGTTGGTAATTTGAAGTTGGGGGAAAGACTTAAAGTTTGCTTTTAATTAAGTCTCAACTCATCTTTTTGTTTTTGGTAATTTAGAATGATGATGTACTTCATATTTATAGAGCAGTTTAGAGAATTCCCGTATATCCTCTTTTTACCCAGATTCTCCAGTTGTGAACATTGTGTTCCATTTGCTTTGCCATTTCTGGCATACTCATTTTCTTGGTGCTCTGCAAGGACGTCTGAACCCTAAGCAGTGAAAGCCCCGTGGATCACAGTTCTACTCTGACACATGGGGGCATCGTGGGTCTGCGTCAACTCAACAGCAACTGGTTTGCACTTTTGGTTTTGTTTCTAAATACTTCAGTGTGTGTTTTTAAAGAACTAGAACATTCTCTTTCATAACTTCAGTATAATTGTGAAAATCAGGAAATTTAATATTGATGTTGGGGTGATGGTGGTTGTGTGCTGTTGAGTCAGCTCTGACTCACAACTGTCCTGTATAGAGTTTCTGAGGCTGTAAACCTTTATGGGAGCAGGAAGCCTCATCTACAGAGCGACTGGTAGATTCAAACTGTGGACCTTGTGGTTAGCAGCCCAGTTGGTAATCCACTACACTAATAGGGCTCCTTTTAATATTAATACACCATCATCATCTGGCTCCCTGCTTAATGCTCTGGGATTGCAGAAGCAGTTTACATTGCAAGGTCAGCGGTTCAAGCTCACCAGCTGTTCCTCAGAACCCCTATAAAGGATCACTGAGGTTTGGAACCGACTCGATGGCACTTAACAACAATCATCGTATGTCTTAGAATTTAATAGTCTTTGTAATGTTCTTCATAGCTGTTTTTTCTCTGGTCCCAAATCCAATCAAGGATCATCCATTGTATTTGTTTGTCATATCTGTAGTCTCTTACAATCTGGAATCTCTTGCCTTTATTTTTCTTTTATGACCTTTAAACAGTTTTGAAGATTACAGACCAGCTATTTTGTAGAATGTCTCTCAATTCAGTTTATTGCCGTCAAGTTGTTTCCAACCCATACTGAGCCTATATAGGGTTTCTGAGGAGCAACTGGTAAGCTTGAACCGGTGACCTTACGGTTCAAACCAACTTTGTAGTCCACTGCTAACCCACAGCACCATACTAGGACAGTAGGTGTGTAATTTTTGGAGTCCTGGTGTGGTGCTATAGGATAAATACTGGATCACTAACAGCAAAATCAGTGGTTCATACCCACCAACCGCTCCTCGGAAACCCTATACAGGGTCATTGTGATTCAGAAATGACTTGATGATGCTTAACAGCAACATAAAATTTTTGACATAGTTGGGAATCATACATGAATACAATTTTTGCTTCACCTTTTAACTTCCAGTTACAAAATTAGCAGTTTTACATGTCTGAACATTTTAAAACTTTATTTTCAATGACTGAATAATAGTTCACTGATATGACAGCAAAGTGAGCCCTGGTGGCCCAGTTGTGAGGTCAGCGGTTCAAACCCACCAGCCGTTCCTTGGAAGAGAGATGGGGCTGTCTGCTTCCATAAAGATTTGCAATCTCAGAAACCACATGGGGCAATTGTGTGTGACTCAGAATTGACTCAACAGCAGGGGTGGGTGTTTAAATATTTATATTGCAGAACGAGATGTCAAGCTGTCCCCTTCCTGTTCTCTAGCTCTGCCTGTGGGCCAAGAGCACTAGTTCATACTTCTCTGCTGTAACTGCAGTTGGCATACAGTGAAAGCACAATAAATGTGCATGTCCTGACCCTCCTTTCAGTTCTTTGTGGTAAGAGAGAGCGCAGTGCTCAGTCCAGTCTTCTGCCCCATGGCAAATCTTTGTGCCAAGAATTTAACCACCTCATGGTTGTAGTATTTTAAAATATAATAATGATTAGATTTAGTAATTCCACCTTTGGGAGACTATCTTATAAAAATAAAGGCATAAGGACCCAAGGCTAGCTGGGCAGGGATGTTTTTCCCCTAGCACTGAAGAGTTAGTTCAATATTAAAATGAAAAATTAACCTTGGAGGGATGTTCATGATATATCATTAACTTAAAATTGTAAAGCAGTATTTATAGTATGATGTTGTTGTCAGGTGCTGTCGAGTCAGTTCTAGCCATGGTGATCCCACGCACACCTGAACGCACACCTGAACGCAGCCCTACCCTGTGCTGTGCTGTTGTCACACTTGTCGTTGTGCACGAGCCCAGTGTTGCAGTCACTGTGTCAGCTCAGCCTCTTTTTCAGTGACACTCTGCTTGACCAGACATGGAGTCCTTTTCTAGGTCCTTCCTGATAAAATATCCAAAATACATAATATGAAGTCTCCTTGCTTCTAAGGGGCATTCTGATTCTAACTGTACTTCTTCCAAGACAGATTTCTTTGTTCTTCTGGCAGTCCGTGGTACTTTTAATATTCTTCTCCAATACCATAACTCAAATGTATAGATTTTTGTCCAACTTTCACATACATATGAGGCTATTGAAAATACTTTGGCTTGGATCAGGCGCACCTTAGTCCTCAAAATGCCATCTTTGTTCCTGAGCATTTAGAAAAACTCTTTTGCAACAGATTTGCCCAGTGCAATACATTAATTGAATTTTTTACTATTACTTCTCTGATCGTTGATTGTGGAACCAAGTAAAGATCCTTGACAACGTCAGTCTTTTCTCCATTTATCACATTTATTGGTCCAGTTGTAAGGATTTTTGTTTTCTTTGTGTTGTGTTGCAATCCGTACTGAAGTCTGTGGTCTCTGATCTTAATCAGTAAGTGGTTCTTCAAATCCTCTTCACTTTTGAGCAAGCAAGTTGTGTCGTCTGCTTCTCCCACATGGTTAATGATGTGCGTTCTTCTTCACTGTCCAGCTTCTTGGAACATTTGCTCAGCACACAAGCTAAATAAATATGGTGAAAGAATGTAACCATGGCACACAACTGTCCTCATTTAAAACCATGCAGTGTCCCTTCGTTCTGTTCAAATGATTGCCTCTTCGTTTCTGTACAGGTTCCTCATGAGTGCAAAATTTTTATTAAAAAAGAAAACTTTCTTTTATAAAAAACCAACCAGAATGTTGTGGAAGGGGGACTGCAGACTGTGAACTTGTCAGACTTGTGTTACAGTGAAACTTCTGATACTGCCTTGTTTCTCTGGGTCTCACAGGGTTTCTGCCTTTGGTAGGATGCGGTCTTGCTACTTTTCCATTTCTCCTTTTGGTGAAGAGATTTGCATTTTCCTTGTCTGATAGGTTTCGGCCCTACACAGGCTCTGACTTTTGCCAGTTTTTTGTACCATGAGAGTCAGGGTGAAGGGGAAATTAATAGCATTCTTTTAAAACTTTTTCATTTCCTTTGCTTTGCCATAACCAGCATATATTTGTTAGTGTAAAAAAAAAAAAACAAAAAACCAGATGCTAAGTGAGGAGGGAGGAGGTTGAGTGGCTACCGATCATCAAAGTCACTGCTCATAGGGGGCTCCGAGGGCAAGTGATGCTAAGATACAGGAGGAGGGAGTATGGGGAGTGACTACAGACCATCAGAGTCACCAGCCCTGGGGTGGAATGGGACCTGGGGTGGGGGTTCCAAGGCTGAGGACTAAGATGAGGGAGAGGATGTGCCTGGCTGGAGGAGCATGAGGGGGGAAGTGTATCCACTCTGTTCTCACCCAGCCACTTGAAAGCACTTCTGTACCTTTAACCTCTGGCTTGATAGTTTGGTGCTTCTTGTGCACACCTGTGTCCAACAGAGCAGCTGCACCGAACCCCAGCTGCATTCGATGCCTCCGACCCCTCGTTTAGTAGGGACAGAGTGGGAAGCACTCGGAAAGGCGGCTAGCCCAGGTCATGGGGTGCCGCAGGAGAAGTTGCTGCTTCCAGAGCACCTGTGATGGGTGGGGTCACTGGTGAACATGGCCAGGTCTGTTTCCTCCCTCAGAGCAGGCAGTAGTGGCCTCAGTGACCAGATGCTGGCTAGGGCAGGAGTGGGTGGGCATCCAGCTGACATTTTCCCCTATTGATCTGTCTTGTGTTTTCCTAACCATCACTTTTAAAATTTGAAGGGAACATTCTTTTTGAAAACTGTGTTTTTGCTCAGTGCTCAAGGGTTCTGGGTGTGTCTACGGAGAGGTTGTTGTTATTAAGTGCCATCGCGTCAGTTCTGGCTCATAATGACCCTGTAGCCATGTGGTTTGCAGTCTGGTACTGATCCTACAGCAGCACATGTCCCTAATATTTCAGCCGCATCCTCAGTTTGGTGGTTTGGTATTCTAGGAGCTGGGTGCCCTGTATCTGAACTCTCAGTCTGTCTGAGCGCCTGAGTCTCTCCTGAAGTGGGTCTTGTGCACAATGTGGCCCCAGCCACTGCCTCGACACTCAAAACTTCTTTTCTCTTTTTATCAGGAAACTATAAACACAGGCCCATTTGTGATGCGCTCCACCTGTCGGCGGTGTGGCGGCCGAGGCTCCATCATCACGTCGCCGTGCGTGGTCTGTAGAGGGACAGGGCAGGCCAAGCAGAAGAAGAGAGTGGTGATTCCGGTGCCTGCCGGTGAGTCCTAGCTGTCGGAAACTAGGGGAGGCTAGGGGGCGGTGGAGCTAGGATATCATTGCCTTTTTATTTGTATTGACATTCTCTGTGTAATGTGCCTGCACTGCCTCTGTGTAGCACAGAGGCAGTGGTCCCCACAGATCCCAGCTCTCCCTGTTCCAACTCTCTGTGACTCCCTGGTGTTGATACTGTCCTTTCCTCCTCTGGCGCTCACCCCCACTGCCTGCCCTGCAGTCTCCTGGCTTCCTTCCAGTCCTCTGTGTGTGCTGTCCTTCTCCCCTCCCGCTTCATGTCTGAAGTCTAAAGCCCTCTGTCCACCTTCTGTTTAGTGGGTCAACTCCATTCTGTCGGAGATCCTAACTCCGGCATCATTCCTGTCACTTCGCACTGTGAGCATCTGAGATGCAGGGCCAAAGTCAGCATCAATGAGTCAAGGCGCCCTGGTAGCTCAGCCAGGAGTCTGGCACACCGCCTGAAAGTTACGTGTGCCACTGCCTTGGGTGATGCTCTTATTTCACAGTGCCAGCGCGAGCAGGGAGCCCAGGATGTAGGTGGATCTGGGCAGGAATTGCCCAGGAGCCCAAGAAGAACGGTTCTAGACTGGAGCTTTGTTCTTCCTTGCAGGAGTGGAGGATGGCCAGACTGTGAGGATGCCTGTGGGAAAGAGAGAGATTTTCGTCACCTTCAGGGTAGGTGCTCTGCACCACACAGCTCCAAGTGAAGTGGAGTGGTTGAGGCTTTCTGTGGGATGAGGTGGGAGTGCCACAGAAGTGTGGCTTGTCCCTTGCATCTAAGGGGAACTACATTGCCTGTGTGTTACCTTTGAGATTCTGTGGGCGGTGTGGAGAGAGCCAAGGCTCCCTTGAGATGTTTACTTATCAGATAGCTGGAACACATGAAAATACAGAACACGGTTCTGTATTTGTTGATGCATCACATTGCTGACAGGAACAGTTTTACATGCTGGGAATAAAGGGCAGACAGTGGCTTTGGTTTTTTGAGATCATATTAGCCTTCAAGAAAACAGTGCCGTATGCCAGTAGCGAAACTCTTGGATACCAGCCTGAGAAAAGCCCATGCACCAGGGGCAAGTGCAGGGATGTGCATGGAAGCTGTGTTTGTAAGAGCAAAGCAGGGACAAGCAAACCCCTGAGAGCTCTTTAACAAGAGGACAGTCGAGCACATGATGGCCGTGGTTGTGTGGAAGTCATCAGGGCCACACATGTCAGTGAGAGACCCCTTGCTTTACAAGGAGCAGCAGGAAAAGCAAGCTGCCAGAAAACACGAGTAGCAGGAGACCATTTACAGAGCATTTCAGAGCCTGCACGATGGTACTGCGTGTTGTCTAGAAACAGGCAAATCTGAGGGGGCTTCAAAACGTTTGTGGGGAAATTCCACTATCTTTTCATTCCAAAGAGAAAAGTAACGCAAAGTGTGAACCATTTAGGCGAAAATACCCAAGATGAAAGCAGAAAAGTTTGGCAAGAACTCAGATACTGCTCCCGTTTAGTAACGGAGAAGACAAGTAGTCGTCTCCATTGCTGTAAGGTGCCATTGAGTTGCTTCCGACTCACAGCCACCCGTGTACAACAGAACAGAGCGCTGGCTGACCAGTCGTCATCCTCACAGTTGTGCCCTTGTTGGAGCCCATCGTGGCAGCCACTGAGTCAGTCCTCTTTTCACTGACCCTCTACCAAGCAGGACGTCCTTCTCCAGGGATGGGTCTCTCCTGATGACATGTCCAGAGATCGTGAGACAAGTCTCGCCACCCTCACTCTAAGAGTCACTGCCTCAGAGAGCCCTGCAGTGGTCTGCCTTGCAGATGGTCTGTGTCTAATGACCAGCTGAGAGGCACCTGCTTTGCCTTCATAAGTGTGCTAGTCTGTGTTTCTTTCTGTTGAAAGATAGATTTTTAAAATTTCAGTGTCCCAATAGTCACTTTTACTTATTTCCCTTTGCAACTCTCCCATCACGGTGTCTCACATGTCACCCCCTCAGGCTGCACCCCGTGTGGGGCCTGCTGTGATGTGGACTGTGGGCAGCAGCGGGTCTGTCTCTGATAGGGTGATGGTCATCTCTCCCACCTGCTCCAGGTGCAGAAAAGCCCTGTGTTCAGGAGAGACGGCGCAGACATCCACTCTGACCTCTTCATCTCTGTAGCTCAAGCCATTCTGGGTGGGACAGCCAGAGCCCAGGGCCTTTATGAGACCATCAATGTGGCGGTGAGTGCCTGGTGGGACATGCGGAATGTCTATCCCTTCCTGCCCTGATGGAAACGGGGGTGTTCTGGGCAGGCAGCTTGGACCCTGTGATTTCCGGGGATTTGGTTTGATCCTAAACCCTTTGGTCTTGGCTGTCCCCCATTCCTCTGCTCGGTCTGCAAGTCTCAAGTGTGCCACACAGGCACAGCAGAGGTGACTTTGCCAATTGTGAGATCTCCACTTCTGTCTCACTCCACCTCCACAACCCCAGAGTCCATGTCTGCGTCCAGTCACAGCTACAGTAGCACTTCCTGTGTCCTCAGACGCCTCCCCTCACACCCAGCTCTGGCCACCTCACAGTTCTGCTCTTCAGGGCCCCGGGCCAGGTAGACCTCACAGGAGGCAGGAGCCGTGGGGATGAGCTCCCGTCTGGCAGCCTCACACTTGTCTCCAGGCCTCACCTCTCAGTACTAACTGTACCCAAGTCATGGCCACTGACTGCGTAGCCAGTCCCACGTGGTGGCGGTCAGGCTTGGCCTAAAACACAGGCTGAAGGCCATTTCCAAGGGTGTCTGATCCTCTTTGTGTGTGAAAGCATTTCCTGGTTCACCAAGGAGAGCCAGGATGTCCTTCCTTTGCAGATCCCCCCTGGAACTCAGACAGACCAGAAGATACGAATGGGTGGGAAAGGCATCCCCCGGATTAACAGCTATGGCTACGGTGACCACTATATCCACATCAAGATCCGAATTCCAAAGTAAGTGCCACCAGTGGAGGTCGGGGCTGAAGCCCATGCCATCTCTGCACCCTCAGTCACCAGTAGGGGTTCCCAGCCACCATGAGCTCAGTGGCTGCATGACTTCGCCCTTCAGGTCAGGGGTTTCCTGCTTGAGTTCTCCCCTGTGAAGTGGACATCCCTTGATGAATCAATACCAGTGCCTTCGAGTTAACTCCAACTAGAGTGACTGTATATGTGTTAGGGTCAACTTACTCCTTAGAGTTTTTAGTGGCTGAGTTTTAGAAACAGATTTCTTCCTAGGTTCCTTTAGGTAGATTAAAATCTCCAGCCTTCTAGTTAGCAGCTGAGCCTGTTACCTTTTCATACCACACAGAGACTCACTCATTCCCTCATTGAGAGACTTACATGGATAATACAGAGAAAACACGGAGCTGTTGCTGTTATAATCGATGTTATTTTTATTACTGTTGATGTTACTGCTGTCGGGTGGTCCGCAGTCTGTTGCATCTTCTGGGGACTAGCGTGTCACCCAGGCCTGCTGACTCAGCTTAGAAGGGCAGGTTTTAGTCGGATTAATGGGAATCTCTTATTTGCTTCAGACACACATAAAAAGAGCCCTCTCATTTTTTTTCAGTACAACTATAGTTAGCATAGGAGCTCTGGTAGCATAGTGGTTATGAACCGGGCTGCGAGCCGCAAGGTCAGCAGTTCGAAACTACCAGCTGTTCTGCGGGAGAAAGATGAGGCTTTCTGCTCCCATAAAGATTTACAGCCTCGGAAACCCAGTACAGGGTCACTGAGTCAGAACTGACTCCACGGCACATAACAACAACAACATAGTTAGCATAACCACCGTGAGACCCACTGCAAACAACTCCAGGTACTTCAGGAGATTGTGTCTTTCCTCACCCTTTGCTCAGGGTGTGTGTTCTCTGCTCCTTGGCCCAGAGTTTGGGTTGGGGCTCCCCCACACACAGCGGAAGCCCTTCGCCGCTGACTCTGCTCGGTCCGCAGGAGGCTGACAAGCCGGCAGCAGAGCCTGATCCTGAGCTATGCCGAGGACGAGGCAGATGTGGATGGGACAGTGAACGGCGTCACTAGCACCAGCACTGGTAAGATGCTACATGGGGTGACGGCGACACAGCAGCCATCTGGGGGCCTGGAAGATGGATGGGTGCAGAGATGCCTGCTGGGAGCGTTCCGCTTGGGGGAGGAGAGGTTCTTCACAAAGCCTCCGTTGAGAGAGGGGAGCTGTGAGGGATGGTAGCTTGGGCTGATGGGAAAAGCCCTCCTCCTTTCCCTTTGTGTGCGCATGGGTGTGTTGGGGACCCTTCCTGCCAGAGAGCTCGTGTTCTGAGTTCTATTCTTGGTTCTGCCACTTGCCACTTGACTTTGGGCACACTCCATGGGGGAGTTCATTCTTCATGAAAGCTGAAGGCTAAGATGGGCTAGACCTCTGTTCCTAACCCACAGTGCCTCGTGAGCAGCAGCCAAAAGCCACCGCCACATGACTACATCTGACAATGATTAAATGCTGAATTTCCTCGGAGCTCAGACATCCTGCTTTGCCTATAAAGTGTCCTTAACTAGTCGTGATTTGCTAGACACACATGTACCAGCAGCTGGGGTTTTGGGAATCATAACTGCAGCCCCTCTTCTGGTGAGAGTGGGTGGGGCCTTCCCGAAAAGAGCTGACTGTCTGTCTGTCAGGATGTCATTCAGTTCAGCACAGATTGGCTTCAGCCCAGCAACATGTTTTACCCTGGGTGCATCATTTGGTTTTCCTGGATGCTACAAGGAGCTCTGGTAGCGTAGTGGTTACGAATCGGGCTGCGAATCTTAAGGTCAGTGGTTCGAAACTACCAGCCGCTCCGCGGGAGAAAGATGAGGTTTTCTACTCCCGTAAAGATTTATACCCTCGGAAACCCTGTACAGGGTCGCTGTGGGTCGGACCCGACTCGATGGCACTTAACAACAACAACAACAACTCTCCAGAGCTGAAATCCCAGTGACCTTAAGTTAGTGAAGGTTGTATAGAGCTGGGCCAGCTTCCCAGTGCAAGGAGGGCGTGGTCAGGAAGCCCCTCCAGGTGTGGGGAGGGTTCCTGCAGTAGCAGCCTCTGTATAGACTTCCATTGTGTCCCTGCTGAGTCCAGGGTACCAGAAGTTCCCCATGAAAAAGCAGTGCCCCAAATCCTGTCTGTGTCTATACACAGAGTGCCGGGGGGGCTATGTGCTTGCGTAGTTCAGTGCAGTTTTCTCTTTTCCCCTTGTATCTTGAATTAGAGAAGGAACTGGCTGTAACGGTAAGCAGTGCCTAGTCATGCCAGGTTCCTGGTGTGGTGCTATAGCACAAGTGCGGGACTGCAGCAAGGTCAGCCGGCTCTTCAAGCCCACTAGTCACTCCTCGGAAATCTTATACAAGGTCACCACGAGTCGGAAGCGACTCGTCAGCGCTTTAACAATAACATGCCAGCCAACTAAGTGAATGTTTCTAGCTTCTCCATTTCTTTCTTTCTCTGATGTATAACTATCCCAACACTCCTGTAATGTGTGGGATGAATTCTGCAGACAGCTGTCTGAAGTCCTCCCCTTCTCCGTGCCCACCAGTGGGACTCCAGGTCAGCTGGAGCCGAGCCCAGAGCCTTGAGTGCTGAAAGACATGGGTGTTTGTGACAATATTTGGCTGTAGGAGTTCAGTTTAAGGATTGGTCTGCAGTCAGCTCACGAGTGTCCTCAGGACCCCCATGGCTGTTGTGGTTCCTTGTCCTCGTGGCCCCAGACTCACAGGAACCTCTAGGCGCTTTGCCAGTCCTGTTAAATTACGAGTGTCTTCATGCCTGAGTGTGGCTTAACCTTAATGTATATACCAGGTATGGGTCTGAAAAGTTGTTTTCCAAGTGAACAGGCGTACCAATTGGTGCTTGTTCCCTCGGTAGTCCATTGTCATTTCATAGTTGTATTCTAATGGAAAATTTGACTCCCAGTCAGAATTTTTAAAACACATTTAAGACTCAGAATTAGCTTCTAAAACAACCAATAGAGAATTGGCTGTAAAGTTCTTGTTATCTGTCAGTCAGTCTGCTGCCTAGGTAAGGTTAATCCTCTCTTGAAAAGTTTATTTTGCAATCCAAGTATGAAAACATTCCTCCATCACCCACAGTGGGTTTTATTTATTTAGGTAGACACTGGACTTCTTTTATTGCAAGTGTTCAACAAACTTAATAACAAGAATTACAGTAGAAACAGGTTGCGTCATCTTGGAATGAAGGTTTTATGTCAGATTTTAACAGCCTTCCACATGCACCTGCATGAAAGTCATGAGACAGACGCTGAGGAGAGTCATTTGCAGATGGAAGTCAATTCCTTATTCTCCCTGAAGTCCTGCTCCCATTTTGTGACAGTGATACGTGGAAGGCATTCATAATACATCTCCTCTTCACCTGTCAGCCTGGTTAGGTTTCAAAGACCAGGTCTTTAAGCGTTAATTGATAGTATATGAGAGCAAAGGGCTGGGCCCCGTCTGGCTCCAGTCTCTCCCCTACCTTTGCTCCCTGCCCTTTGGGTACCCCAGGTGCATTTTGGGATGTGTGTGGTGCAGTGGACTCACAGGGGCTGGGAGTGGGGGTGATGGTTAGGTGTTGCCCACCTCCTGCTACTAACCCTTGGTTGGGGAGACTGCTTACCTTATTCCTACCACCTCCACAGCCCCACGTGGCCCCCTTCTCTTTCAGTTGTCCCCAGCTGGCTTCCCCAGCACTTTGGGCCCTCCCCTCCCCTCTCCCTGTCTGTTAGCTCTGTGGGTTCCGGTGTGTATCCTGGCACATTGACAATGTCTCCTCTATGATTTGTAGTGTTGAGTACGAGGTGTACTCTTAACTCACAGCAAAAGTCAGCATGCTTGCTTTCTGATATTTATTGCCCTCCTTGCTCCTCCTTGTTGTAAAGTGCCATCCAGTTGTTTCTGACTCATAGTGACCTTGTATAGGATTTCTGAGGAGTGGCTGGTGAGTTCAAACAGCCCACCTTGCGGTTCAAACCAACTTTGCAGTCTAGTGCTTATTCTACGGCACCACACTAGGACTTCTTACTTAGTGGTTGGTAAGTGGTTAAAATAATGTCATAGAGTTATTCCTGGCAGTCTTAGCGGAGCTGCTTGCTCTGTTGAGACCAGAACATCTTTATCATAGTCTTACGTAAGCATGACGACATGGTTGTTCATTCAAGGGGTGTGTGTGTGCTTGTATTCTGAAAGGAGAAGCAGGGACTTAGGGGAATTGGTCATTTGATTCAGCCCTGTGTCTACTGTGGAGTCATGCCAGGCACAGAGCATTTGGGTTCAACACCCGAGATGGGTAAAGCGTAGTTCTCTGCGGAGATGTGGGTGAGACGTGTGCATGCCTCTCACTGGTCTGGAGATATGCACCCATAGCCGAGTGTACAAACTGCTCAGGTGGCTGGGAATGGGATCTTCTCTTGGCTCTTGTCACTTCCCTTCCTCGAGCTCAACTGGGGTGTCAGACCACACGTGTTTGAACTCACTTCTTACCAGTTACTGGCTGTGGAGGAGATTCTGGCTCATAGCAATTCCATGTGACAGGGTAGAACTGGCCCGTAGGGCTTCCTAAGCTGCAGTTTTTATGGGAGCAAATCATCAGGTCTTTTACCTTGCAGAGTTGCTGGTGGGTTTAAACTGCTAATATTTTGGTTGACCACCCACCACTAGGGTTCCTTGTATACATTATGTTGTAGTTTAGTGCCGTCGAGTTGGTTCCGATTCATAGTAACCCTGTGTAAGGCTTCCCAGGAGCAGCAGGTGGGTTTGAACTGCTGACCTTGTGGTTCACAGTCCAGTGGTGGTCCTGTGACCTCAGATGATAACCCTCACTGATAAGGTCATCCTAAGGTCTGAGTGAACTGACGTGTAAGCTGTGTGCTCAGCAGGAAGGCCCCTGGCCCTTGACTGTTCTCTTGTGATACTGAGCCTGGAGACAGCTGGTTGTGGTCTGTGTCTAGCTCTTGTCTCTGTGGTGGTTCGCAGGGAAGAGCACTTGGAATGAATGCCTGCTCTGAGTGGCCTCTTTGCTCCAGTCCCCTCCCTTCTCAGGGAGGCGCCTGGTGGCTTCTTGACAAGTGCTGGGCCCTGGGGGGCCGGTGGGGCCGGGGGTGCTGTGTGGAAACCTATGCCCCTGACCCGGCTTCTCTCTGCTGTTTGTGCCCAGGTAGCAGCCCCATGGATAGCTCTAGTCGAGAGGCTGGGGAGGACAAGGAGGGATTCCTTTCCAAACTTAAGAAAATGTTTACCTCCTGATAGCCCAGCCGAGGTAGGACAATACCTGAGGTTTTGCCTTGTTGTCTTCCTTTGTTCCCCCCACCCCCCCTTCTCTCACTGGAATCAGTGCCAGCCCCCTCCCAGGTGTTAGAGGCAGTGCCGTTTAAGGAGAGACAAAATGGTACTAGGCCTCTCCCTGTTGACCTTTTTGCAGTTGGAGTCCAGGCAGGGCCAGCCAGTGTTGCCGGGCTGAACCAGACCCCAGCTGCCTGCGTTCTGCAGCTCCCATTTGCTGGAGAGACTACATTTTGGCAGACAGCTCTATAACTCCCTGCACAGCTGGAGCCAGGCTACCCAGGGTCACAGAGGGCAAAGTGCAGCAGAGCCAGGCCTAGACTCAGACTGCCTGGGTCTCCCTTAGACCCACGCAGTACAGCCTGTGTGAGCCTTGGAACCGCTGCCTAGGGCAGGCCCACCTTCATTTCAGGGATCCGTGGAAGCTCATGGTCAGTGGTTGCTCCTGTCAGGATGCCAAGTGAAATGTCTCCTTTTGTCTCTTCTGTCCAGGAAAACGGTCCACTGGAAACTAGTATGGAAGCTGCAGCTCCTCCTCGTGACCTCAATGGCAAGAAGTTCAGCAGAGTCCAAACCTGAGCCCCATGCCCACAGAGGCCCTGGATCACTTCAGCCACAGCAAGACCGAAGCAGTACCTCTCCTGACAAGGGACTCCGTGGAGAGTCCCCGGGGAGTAAGATGTATAACCCAACCCATAAGTGGGATAGATGTTTTCCTGTCCATGGTTGGGGGCAAAGGGCAGTGTAAGACAGATGGACACCTGGAGCAGAGCTACAACTCTGGGCACGATGGGTGGAGGTCTTAGCGTAAGAATTAAAGGCCATCTTCACAGCTTCAAGATGAACCCTGAGCTGCACTGAGTCTGGAATTGATTGGTTTTTTTCTCAGCAAACCTCTGGGGAGCCCTGCTAGGTGGCCTTCCCCAGAACCTGCCCTGCATGTCCCCAGCCTCGTGCCCCCTGCCCACAGGTTCTGTTGGGCACCAGTCACTCACTCCTCAGGGAGTATGGCTTTTATTCCCAAAGGCAGCAAGCAGGCTCCGTGGACATGGGGGAGGCACTAGAGGGCCCTGGAGATCTCACGTCTTGCCCACATGGGGGTGGTCTCTGTCAGGCTAGACATCCTTCATCCCCATCTACCCAGGATGTCCTCCCACCCTGGCCGTTAGCTTCTCTTGCTTCAGGACAGGAGTGTGTGTGGAGCTCCCCCTGCTCAGCCACAGCCAGCTGCCTACAGCACTGTTCTGGGCCAAAGCTCTGTGGCCTCATTCACACAGAGCCACCTCTGCCAGCTGGGGTCTTATTCTCACCACTGACATTTACTTTCAAGAGTGTCTCTAAATTAATGCAGTGAAAATGTTCGTTCAAAACGGAAAAGCACATCTAGTCAGGCCAAACAGAGCACAGGGTGAAAGCCCTAAGAGAACATGCATCCCCATAGCCACGGCCTTGTGGGACGTTGCAGCTTCCTCTTGGCTCAGGTCCTTCAGGTATAGCCAGATGGGTTAAGGACGAATGTTTCCCAAGAGTTTCCTTTGTCTTCCTCCATAATCTACTCACTCAATAAAGCATCGACTAGTTATCTCATTGAAGAATGTCAAATGAAGCTGTATCATGTAAATAAGATTATCTACACAAAAAGATATTTAAAACCTAAAATTGTGGTCATTTATTCCTTGAAAGGGTTTGGACAGCTGCAGGTGGCTTAGCACAGGAATGGATCGAATGTTCGCTGGCGACCGGGCTACCCAACCTGTAGCACTGGGGTCGTTCTGCTTGCCTCGCCTGCCTCCACGTCTCCATGTTTGCAGGCCTCCAGGCTGCTTCCTCCCACAGTAGATTTCCTCCCTCTATCACTTACAGAGTCCTGACACATTTTTACACTGAAATGTTGACTCCTTGTCTAATTGCCTGGATTCCCACAGGGAATGTTTCTCTCAGAAGCCCAGGTGCCCAGCCATTGGGAACTAAGTGAGAAGAGACTGGGAGAGTTGAAAGGACAAAAAGGAGACTCAGTGGTTCTCCCCGGCTACTTGCAGATACAAGCAGTCCCCGAGTTAGGAAGGAGATCCGTTCCGCAGCGTCTCTAAGGATTTGTAGTTAAGTCAGAATAGGTGCATGTCATTCTTTATTAGCTTTAACTTTAATGGAAGAAAAGGCTGGAAGTTTCCTCTGTGATTTAAAAAAGCTGCAATTGCAGAAAGTGATTGTGGTGAATTTGGTTCAGCCACTTCAAAGTGAGGGCAGATTTCCTTAATATTAAAGGACAAGTAGCAGTTGCCCACCAACGGGAGGTTCCTTCGTTATTCAACAGTTGTCTATTGAGTGCTGGCTTTGAGACAGGTCCTAATCTAGATCCTGAGGTTCTAGCAATGTGGAGCTAGTGTCCCTTGCTCGTGAAAGCTTAGCTTTTATTTCTGGAGAAATCTCCCCAATCTCATTCATGTCTTATCTTTTGAAAGCAGAAGTCTAGAGAAAGACTTGAAAAGAGAAAGGGGGAGTTTCTCACTGGTGTGACACTGTGGTTTAATGCGCTACTACAGTGCAAAGTCGGTTTGGTTCAAGCTCACCAGCCACTCCATGGAAATCCTATACAGGGTTGCTATGAGTCTGCATCTAAGAACAACCCCATGACGGGTGTCCTGGAGTGCTTTCCCTCACATGGCCAGAAGGTGACAGCACAGAGGTGACACTAAGAACCACTTGAAGACTTGGGAGTAGTTCTACCACAGCAGGCCCTGGGGACAGTTGGCAGCAGTTCATCACCTCATTTGGGATATGACAGAGATAGCTAAAAAACACAAAAAGAACTTCAAGCCTTGAAAGTGAGATGGGGGTTGCGCTTTTTGCTGGAGTATCAGGGAGGGTCAGTCATGGATTCTCATGGGACAAACAGGACTGCCTAAGGCTCCACCAGGCAATGCATACATGAAACATCTCAAGAACCAGGCACTGAATTACAGCGACTGAGGCGGCACCGTACCCCTCCCCCACAGAACCCAGCTGCCCGCTCTTCCCAACCCCAGTGTACTTAGGAACTCACCTGTCCTGAGCTTTCGCCTTCCCATGTCCCTTCAGGTTTCAATGCATTGCTTCCTCAGTGGGCCTCCGGTCCACTCGGTAAGCAGGGATCTCCCACTGCAAGGTCGATCCAGCACCCCGACTCCTTGTCTTTGTTGCTCTCTGTCAATTCTTCATTTTCTGGCCAGGGATCTTAACTTTTTTGTTAACACTTAGGGCCCAGCACATGGTTAAGTGCCTGAAGAAATTTGGGTTCAATAATCAATGTTGTTATGTGCCGTGGAGTCGGTTCCGACTCATAGCGACCCTGTACAGGGTTTCCAAGGCTGTAGATCTTTACGGGAACAGAAAGCCTCATCTTTCTCCCGCGGAACAGCTGGTAGTTTCGAACTGCTGACCTTGCGGTTGGCAGCCCAACATGTAACCACTACGCTACCAGAGCTCTTTCATCAATCAATAGATGAAGTGAATTTTGTAGAACTGCCTCCCTTGGTGTTGCTGCATGGAAGGAGGAGACCACCAGGGTGGACTTGGAATGTATGAATATAGAAATGGTTTAGTCTTCACCACACGTTTTACTCAAAGTGATACCAGCATCCTCTCACCGATTTTCACAGCCACTGCCCCCAAGTTCCCTGTACTGCAGGAAAGAATATGACCAAACCTGCAACTCATTTCCTCTTGTTGGCATGTTAATGCTGTGGGCAGCCCAGCAGCTGCCACCCTTGCCCAAGTCCCAGAAACAAAGCTCTATTCTTCTGGAAACCATCTGCAAGAACAATGACCTTTATTATTTTTAAAAAAAGTTTCAACACAAAAAGGATCATTGTGACCCTGTGTTTCCCTTCTCAGACTCAGGTTCCAATCAGTCACAGCCGGGCAAAATCCCCTTTGTGTTGCTCCAGCCACTGGTTCAGGGTCCTGGCCTTGGGGTTAAGCCTCAGGGTCAATTCGATGTTGCGGTCAGGTTTCATGGCATAGAAACGGAACATGTTGGCCAGATCCTGGGCCCCAGGGAAGCCAAGCTTCTCATATTCCTCTGGAGTTGTCTGGAAGCAGAGGGAAGTCTGTTACCTAAGTCAGCTTGAAGGGCCTGAGTGAGGTGGTGGGGGAAGGTTGGGTGGGCTTGGAATCTCCCGACCAGCTGCCCTCTGCCACAGCTCCACCATTTGCATCCTGGTTGCCTGCTAACATTCTCACCAACAGCTTGTTTGCAAACTGTTATAAAGAGATGCCATCTTGGAAGAGCTTGGTACATTCTAGGTCAATTTATATACTGTTCTTTCACGATTGTGAGGTGAAAAACTCAGTCCCCTCCCAATCAAAAATCTGTTCACATTACTTTTCTGCTTTTAGGTCAACAGCTGTTCCCTTTTCCCGATGAACTGAAGTTGAACTCCTCAGCCTCCCATTCTAACCTCTCACAGCAACCCTAGAGGATGCAGAACTCCCTAGGGTTTCCAAAACGAACCCTTTATGGGAGCAGACTGCCTTTTTCCCAAGAAGCAGCTGTGGGTTTGAACCACTGACCTTGTGGTTTGCAGTTCTATGCTTAACCCACACATCACCAGGGCCTCCTTGGCACCCAAGAAGCTTATGGCATAAATGTTGGCTATTATGAGAAACTGACTTTGACCATCAGAGAGGGCTGGGCAATCCTACAGATAATTCCCCCAAACTAACGTGAATACCCTCTTTGGGAGTTAGAAACAGCTGACTGAGGCTACCTGAGTTCCCGGGTGGCACGGGCATCTCACCAAGTTTGCTGGGGAGGGGGGGCACCCACCTTGGCATCGTGTACAGTCTGGCCAATGTGTTGAGAGAGGAGGGCAGCATATTCCCCTGCAGTGTGTCTGCAGGTACTGAGCCCGATGTCTTGGCCAACGTACTCTTGGGGCGTCTTCAGTAAGCTCAGCACCACTGGACCCAGGTCCTCTACAGCTATCCCGTCCATAGGAATGTCACCCATGGGCAGGCCTGTGAAGAAGGGGAAGGAGACGTGTTGATACGTGTCCTGTGTGACAGGCCATCCACTGGACAGCTGCCCACATCGGAACTTGGGCATGGCTGCGAACACTTAGTGTTGTTGGGGGCAGGCTGGGAGAAATAGTGGAAGGAAGCAGCCGGACACTGGGACAGTCCACACTGGATTTCCTTTCCTTGGGCATGTTGCTTAAACCTGCAGAGCCTTGGTTATAACTTGGTTCTTAGAATGGGGATAAGAGCCCTTGACTACCTACTCCTCTTGAGGCTGAGCAGAAAGAAAAAAGAGAAGGGGCAGAAAAAGGTTGGGTTTTTTTTTTTTTTTTT